CCAGCGTACTCACCAGACATAGCGCCTTCTGATTACCACTTGTTCAGATCGATGCAGCACGGCTTGAGTGGTACACGCTTCCGAAATGTTGAAGAAGTGCGAGAATGGGTGGACGAATGGATTGCTTCGAAACAAACATCGTTTTATCGAGATGGTATCGCCCAGTTGCCAGAAAGATGGCAAAAAGTTGTAGAAAGTGATGGAAAATACTTTCATTGAAATAATTTAAATAAATTTGTTACAATAAATGCTTTTTCTCAGTATTTTTTGGGCGGAAACTAAGTTAAGGTCCTAATAACAAGACCGCACGAAAAAATTCACGAGGACTGATAGAATATTAACTCTATATAGGGTATTAAAAAAAAAGTATTTCAAATTTACAAGGTAGATAATATTTATTACACTCAGTACAAAAATATCTTACTATATTAGTGTAACATTTACAAGAATCGTCCCTCGTGTCTCCCTTCCGAAAGATGGATTGGATGGGGTGGACCAGTTGCATGGTCTCCTCGATCTCCTAACTTAAATTCATTAGACTTTTTTATAGAGATACAGAAATTTAGTTTATTCTTCATTCATAAATAATGTGCAAGAATTAGATCGGCAAATTCGAGATGCAGCTGATCAGATTCGAAGAAGGTAAAAAATTTTTGAAAAAGTTCGGAATTTTGTAATTCGAAAATGCCAAGCGTGTGTAATACAGTAAGATACTTGTTCGTTTATTAACCACGTATAATTAATGGAAGCATACAAACGTTAACAAAATTGAAAAATATTTATAATTCTGAAAGGATTGATTTTTCGATCCATATTTAATAGATACTTTTACTCAGTGTAATGAATATCTATTCTATAAGTTAAAAATACTTTATTTATTATCTTATATATCTCTAAGATTCCAGTGAAATTTCGAAACTCTATTATTGAAAGAATTAGTAAGAAGGTCACGTCCGCGCCTTAGAAAAAATTTGGGATCTTTTCAATAGCTCGCAGCGATAATAATAGCTAGTTGTTGCTAGACTGTGTGACAGTGTCCTGTGAGATCAGTCAATTCGTGCAAATGAGTTCGTTTTTTCGTATATTTTATATTACTTATATTATTTTATAAATAAACATGCATTATAAATCATTTAGTTTGTATTTTTTAATATAAATCCTAATTTTTTATACCATCTGTTAAACCACCGAAACAGAAATTTGGGAATTGGTCATTTTTAGAGACTTTTGTAGTTTTATCGATGATAATCGAACTTTTATACACAAGTTCTACACACCAAATTCTTTTGATAGCATGAAATATGCTCTTTTAAAATTAAAAAGATTATTTTGTTTACCTTTGTTAACAAAAAAGTTATGAATTTTTATTATTGTATAAAAATAATTAATATTTTCTGACGCACACATGTTCTACGGTATCATGTTATTATGATTTTAAGTTACTTTTCAGTTAATTTACGATTAAAAACAATTAATTACAAAAATTATTAAAATTTAATGTTTTTAATATATTTTTTAATCAGCATAGAAATTGCCCAGAAATATGATTCTACTTATATTCAATAAAATTAATGAAAGTTATAATAAGAAAACAAAACATATGTTTTAAATAGTAGAAAAGTTTAAAAATATTAGAAAAGTTGGTCTAGATAAACTTTAGCTATGTTAAACGTTCAGCAAATTTTGCTGTGCAAACTGCAGTTAAGTCAAATGGAACAGAAATTCGAGTCAGATTGACAGTCTAACGTAAAAAAAATTTACAGTAATTTTCCCCAACTAACAAATTTCCTATGATAAAGAGACTGAGACAGTGATCTCCAAAACCCTCGTGTGACAACCACGTATACAAAAAATAAGTGTGTATAGATAGGATTAATAGAATGTAATTGACGTCATTTTACAACGCGGTTCCTACGACCAGGTATGATTGTTTCGCTACTCGACCTATCCTTCATTCATATCCTCGGACTGCGAGGCGTCCTCGAAAGGACGTGTGACGTAACGAGCACTAAACAGAAGCTCGTTGCGTGAGCAACGTTCTGTCATGCATAATCGTGAGGGTTGCGTCGCGTGTATATAACGGAATATCGAACGATATTCAGAAGAGAGAAAGCAAGAGAGAGAGAGAGAGAGCCATCGAGCTGGGATACGCGCGTAACTACGGTGTGTGTTTTTATCCGTGGCCATGACAGAATTAAGGACTGACCCAGTTACTGACACAGGGTAACTGCACCGCCGTGCGTGACGTCAGGATGAGCAGCAGCCCCATTCACGAGGCTTCGACAAGCCGCGGAATCGGTACGATTCCCGACGCCGTGAAATATCATAGTTCATTCAATGACCCGCTAACTCGCGTCTCGCCTGCTCTTACTACCCGCGTTCCCGCCGTCATTTCCCGTTTCTCTTTGTTTAAAACGTAGAAATGACACTCGCCCGTCACTCTCAACCGTTGAATAGCCTTACTCGTGTACG